GGTGAATTTCTATTGATTCAATGTGTTTTTCTATGGTTCATTGTATTACCTAAAGAGTAGTAAGTGTCTAATTTATTATATTTTTTAATATTGTATATATTAAAAACTTTTAAATAATAGATATTTTACAATAAGAAGATAGAAAAGAATACATTGAAGTTAAGTTTTAAAGCACTTGATAAGTTGCTTAATAATATGGAATTATGGATTATACATAAAGAGAATAGATTTAATTTTCAAGAAGAAGTTGAATGAGAATAAAATAGAACTAAATATTTTTATAAAATAGAATTTTTTCTATTGTAATAAATTATATATTTAAACCACTTAATATATTAAGTATTTTTTTCTTGAAAAAGCTTCAAAATTATATTTTGATGTATTTTTATAGTATATTTAATAAGGTCTATACTTGTTTATGCTTCTTTGTATTTTTTTTTTTTTTGAAATATTAGAAATTACAAGAGTGTGGTGATGAGTGAATGTGGTAAGTGCTATTAAGTCTACTAAATATAGATAATTTTATTTTAATTAATAAGTATTATACTTGTAATTTGTAAGTTTAAATGTGAGATGGAAAAAATATGTAAAAGTCCGAGTAACATTGAGTGAAATGAACAAATAAGTCTCATTTATGATATAATTAATAGGACATTGAAATTGGCAATAGTATAGGATAGATGAAACTTGTTCCTATTAGAATTTTCAATAAGGACTTTTGTTTTAGTTGGTTTGTTTTACACAAGATATTGTTTGGTTGGATGTTTTATAGATCTTGAGTTGGATTTTTTATTCAATCAAAAAAAAGTATGTATATTTAAGGAGTCTTATATTATGATGGTCTATTATTATTATAAATTTCTTAAAGTATGTTTATATTTGAATGATTCTTTTACTTATGTACTAAAGTTTTTAAGGTAGAAGTCTTTTAAGATTTAGAATAATGATATAAGAGTAGTAAATTTTATTTGAAAGTTGTAGGTTGAAATAAAATTATTAAAATATTTTCAAAAATTAAATATTGAATTTAAAAATATTTAATTTTGATTGTTTATTTTTAGAATTACATATTCAATTTATAGGATAGAAAATCATATGGTTTAAGGAACAATTTATACAAAAGAATGTTCAAAAAATATTCTTAAAATAACAAACAAATCTAATTGTAATTTTTTATAAGTAATAAGAAGGTGAAATTAAAATATATTTTTGTATTGATTCATTACAAGATATTATTTGAAATTATTGAAATAATATATATTTATAGTTTAGAGCCATTTACATAGTCTTTTCATGTGAAGATATTCAAGCAACATGGAACAATATGATAAAATATCAAATATATAAGGTATTTGTAGAGATATTTAGAAAGAATTTGAGATTTTTATATTATTGGAACTTGATTTAGATGGATGCTCAAACTTAACCATGCTACCAAATAAATTAAAATATATGATTTCTTTGAAGATACTTAAATTAAAAGATTGTATAAAATTAAGATCATTAACATCAATAGGAAGTCTTTTTATGTTAAAATAATTTATTATTAAAAGGTGCTCAAGCTTGACATTATTTCCCAATGAATTAGACAATCTCATATGTTTTACTATATTTGATATAAGCTATTGTTCAAGCTTGACATCTGTGTCAAATAGATTAGACAACCTCATATCTTTCACTATCTTTTATAGGAAAGATTATTCAACTTTGACATTATTGTTGAATGAAATAAGTAACCTCACATCTTTGAACACCTTAGATATAAATTAGTGTTCAAGCTTGATATCTTTGCCAAATAGATTGGACAACTTCACATCTTTAACTATATTTTGTATGAGAGAGTACTCAAGCTTGACATTATTGCCAAATGAATTGGGCAACCTCACATCTTTGATTATACTTGATATAAGCTATTGTTCAAGCTTGACATCTTTGCCAAATAGATTCGACAACCTCATATTTTTAACCACCTTTTATATGAAAGATTATTCAACTTTGACATCATTTCTAAATGAATTGGACAACCTCAAATCTTTGACTATGTTTGATATAAGTTTTTATTCAAGTTTGACATCATTACCAAAAGAAATAAGAAACTTGATATCTTTGACTACCTATGAAATATACCATTGCTCAAGCTTGATATTATTGCCAAATGATTTGGGTAACTTCACATCTTTGACCACATTTATCATAAATCACTACATTAAGTTAACATCATTGCCAAATGAATTAGGCAATCTAACATCTTTGACTACCTTAATCATAAATGGATTTTTAAGCTTGACATCATGGCCAAATGAATTGGACAACCTCATATCTTTGACTACTTTTGATATAAGCTATTATTTAAGATTGTCATCATTGCCAAATAAATTTTGTAACATCAAAATTTGACTACCTTTATTATAAATAGATGCTTAAGCTTAATATTATTGTCAAATGAATTGCACATCCTCAAATCTTTGACAATTTCAAGCTTACATGAATGCTCAAGTTTGACATCATTATCAAATGAGTTAGGCAACCTTACATCTTTGACTACCTTGATTATAGGCAAGTAGTCAAACTTAATAATATTGCCAAATGAATTAGGTCATCTCACATCTTTGACTACCTTGACTATAGGTATATGCTCAAACTTAATATCATTGCCAAATGAATTTGGCAATCTCATATCTTTGATTATCTTTAATATAAAGAAGGTTTATAAAAGAATGAATTTGGTAATCTTATATCTTTGATTATCTTTGATTATCTTTAATATCTTTAATATACAAGTAGATTATTATAAGCAAATGCTCAAATTATTTGAAATATTTAAATTTTAAAATCAATTGAAAGATTTAAAAATTTAGAATTTAGAATTATAAAGATATTTTTAATTTTTTGATATTTATAGTTTTTTATTCTAATTTAACTTAATTTCTTATTTTAGAGATTTTAAATTCTAATAATATAAATATTTTATTCTATAAGATTTTAAATTATAATATATAATTGATTGGATTTGAATTTAATAATTTAAAGTTGAAGAATGTAGTTTTAAAATTGATGGTTTAGAATTTGGATTCAATGTCATTAAAAGTAAGGATTTAGAATTTATGGTTTAAAATTTTAAAATTTTAGTATTTAGGATTTAAAGTTATAAGAGTGTATCTAATTTTCTTATCTAATTTTTTTTCTTCTTCTTTTTTATTTTAACTTGAATTATATCCTTTATTTTTTATTTTATTTTTAATTCTATAAATAATACATCTTATAAGTTCTTAATTTATAAATAATAAAAAAAAAAAAAAAAAAAAAAAAAATGAATTAAGCTTTAAGGTTTCAACTTTTGTTATAGAAAGATTTTTGAGAGTTTTAAAAATACCATTGAATCTATTTAAGGATTGTATGTTCTCATTTGGAGGAGGAAGCAATGCTTGCTTTTGGAGTTCTGGATGGATGGGTGGATATGGGGTGTGTGTGTATTTATAAAATCCAATCTAGATATATCATTAAATTTTTTTAAAAGTGTATAGGTTTATAAATACTAATAATTTGACCATTTTAAATTTGAGTTGACTTTACAAATGCATAAGATTTTATAAGTTTCAATCTGACATATCATCATACTTTGAGAGTCTAAAATCTATTAATAGACTTTAAAATTTATAAATTTTTTAATTTTGAAATATAAGGCTTTTGACTTGGTACTTTTCTACTTTTATTCTCTTTTACTTTTATTTTTTCTTTATCTTTTTAGAATTTTGACTTGACCTATCCACCCTTTTTTCTTCTTATATCCATCTTTTCTTTATTTTTTATATTTTTTATTATAATGATATATTTAAAGTCCTCAAAAAATTTATATTTTAAAAATATAAGGTTATCAAAATTATAAAATTATTCTATATATAATATGTGAAAAAATAAAATAAAATAAAATAATAAAATTACATATAAACTTGTTCATACTATGATATTAAAATAGGTAGCTTATATAAGTGTGTATATATATATATATATATATATATTTTATGGTTACAATATGTCATTTAGATTATTTTTCAAATATATTATGTATATAAATGTTTTAAAACCTAATAACCTATATTCTAAGCCTATACCATGGATTGTACATGGTCACATCCATTTATAGATGTGATAACATCATTACGTCATCCATACTTCTATCTATTATAAATAAACTAATGTACATTGTAAAGGAATTCAAAAATAAGTTAATTTCTTGGACCATCTTAGTTTCAACCATCATAGAGAAATTAGCCCTCTTAAATCAAAGGTTGTTGATATGCTTATGTACTTCTCTACTCCCTTGCCTATTGAAGTTGACATTCAACATGCTTGTCACACCATCCTATTGTTGGTCTAATAAAAGTTAATGAACTTTTCACATAAATAAAAGGTGCATATAAATCTCTTCCATAAGTTATGTTTACCAACCTTTCTAATGTAATATGATATGTTCTAAAGAATCCTTCTATAAATCCTTCTAAATAATCAAAAAAAACTTCTAATGCACTTTTGGTGCCTCAAATCTAAGATTTAGAGTTTATGATTAGATTAAATTTACAGTTTAGAAATTTAAAATATATGTATATATATATATATATATATATATAATTTCTATTAGACATTGTATGTCATTTTTATAATAATAAAAAATCACATTAACAATTGACTACTTATAATTACCATTAATTAAAAGAAATACCACATATTTGCAATTTACCAATTCATGTTCCAAAATCAATTAGCACAATCATACAAACTTAACTTTAATTTCACACAAGAAAGAACTAAACCAACTTCTTTTGAAAGGTTGGACTTCTTGGTGTAATCAGTAAATGCAAACTTGGTTACACTTTGAGCCTTTTTTGGTTGGCCTTCACCTCTTAAACATTCCCTTCTTAGAAATCACATAAAATCATCTTGCATGCTTAGAAGTCTTTTGATCCTACACACACTTGCAACCAAAAGCCATTGCAATAGTCTGGATAAACAAAATCCATATCAAGCCAAATGAGAAAGAATTTGGAGGACTGTTCATCTGGCTTCGCATATAAGGAAGAATATATGGACATTCTCTGAAATCGCCCAATAAAAATGGCGGTTACTAAGCCTACAGGAATCCTAGAACAGTGTCGAAATGAGCACTAATTCTAGGCTACTCTTCATACAACTGTGTAGCTTCTTTCGAGTTAAGCCAAAGAAACCAGGATTTGGAGGTTACATTCCAGCAGATAATTGACTGGTGCAAAAACTAGTAGAAGACCGGCGTTGCAGAGGCAAATTTGCACTCCAAATGCACATATCCATCGTCGAGGGGAAAAAACGGACTTCATCCACCCTAAATACTTCAACTTTGAACCTGAGGTGAGTAGCGCTTCTTCGAAGAACATGAGTCTGCTTGACATCCTTGCTACTCTTACAGCAATTCGGATCGTCTTCGCATCTTACTTCGCTGATGAACCTGGTGTATTGACAAGTCTGTGCTCGAGAAATCTTTCTAGAAGGAGCTGCAACTGTCTCTGATCTAGTGGCTGGCATCACATCAAAACATCCAAAACTGAGTCAGGTCGATGCCTTAACGTTTGAGCAAGATAAGGTTGCATAGTTTTTGTAAGCAAGGTTATCCTTGTGCAAAGAAGTCTAAAGCTGAGACACAAAGTTACAAGCATTAAATATCGGCACTTATTACCTTTGGAATGTAGTCATCCATGCCAGCGCTAAAACACATCTCATGGGTACCCTTCATGACGTCGGCTGTAACTGCCACTATGGGGATTCGATGATGCGGGCACTCTTTCGGTTCCCCGTAGTCGTACTCAATCTTCTCAAGAGCTCGGCATTGCTCGCATTTATCAACCTCCCATTTCCTGATAAGCCTAGTGGCTTCATACCCGTCCATCTGCAATGAGATGGAAAAGCTGACAAAGTCAAGAGAAGACAAGATGTTTATTGTGAACTAACTAAATATAATGCAAACGAGTGATTCTCCTGTCATAAACATGCGAAGCTGATTATGAGAGTTAATACCTCTGGCATTTGAATATCCATCAAGATCATGTCAAACTGCTTGTCAGACTCTTGCTGCTTCACAGCAATAATTGCCTGGTTTCCACCGTTCACAGTGACGACAGTCGCACCATATCGTTGAAGCATCGAGCTTGCAACTGTGCTATTGACCATGTTATCGTCCACCACAAGCAGGCATTTACCTGTGAGCATCTCAGCGTTGGCATTTTGTTTCCTAGACAGATTTGTCACTTGCATGCCTAGAGTTTGCAAAAGCCCTGATATCAATGTTGTGCATCGAAGAGGCTTGTGGACGATGTGCTGGTAGCCAGCTTCATGCAACTCAGTTTGCAGGGCGATGTCAGGCGGAATGGAAAGAGCCAACACTGGAAATGTTTTGGCAGTCGACACCTTCAATCGTTGCACCAGCTGAATTGATGACTTATGATCCATGCCTTGCAAATCTACGATCACAGCTTGGAATGGAGGTCCATTTTCCCTGTGAAAGGAATCGAAATACATCCACAAACGATTAGATATTCTCCGAACTCAACTCAGAATATCATGTTCAAGAATTGTACCGTTCACTGAAACTTTGGTCGGCAGTTATAACGACTTACCTTGTTAATAATTCTAAAGCGGTGTCTACATCGTCGGCGTACTCAATCAATGCTCCCACTCTTCGCAGATATGTCGCTGCCACTTCCTGCTCCATATCCAAAAAAGATCAGAACTCAAGCGTCAGATAATTCTAGCATCATTAAAGCTTCAAACTTTCAAATTTTATGTATGAAAATTCTTTTACGAATATTTTTTATGAAAATAAGTGGGGTGTTTGAGACAGTACCTGCCGCACGGGATTAGCATCAACCAGAAGCACCCTGATTCCTCGGATACGCTCGTCTCCTAAGCCAGATGGCGAGCGCTTCATAGCGAAGGCCAACTTCTGCAGATCGCCTCTTTGCCCAGACGTTGGCAACACTAGCGAAAACTTGAAGACACTGCCCTCTCCTGGTTCGCTTTCAACAACTATATCTCCTCCTGTAAACCTTACCAGTTTCTGCAGAATATCACAACAGATCTGTGGTTAGTGCAACATTCTTCTAGTTCCGGCAGAATCTTCCGTCCTTTGAAATAAGAGGGTGTGAAGGACAAACCAAGATGATCGCTTACAAATGGCCATTGCCGCCGAAGTGAACGCAAACCTGCCGTGTTGAAGAGAGCGAATAAATAGACCTCAAACATAGTTTGACTAACGCGCACAGCAATCAAATAGAAAAATGTAATGACTACTTAGAACCAAGCCTTCGTGGATCTGGTTCAGTTTATAGAACCAACCTGGCAAATGGATAAGCCGATGCCAGTTCCGCCGTACTCCCTCGAGGTGCTGCTGTCCGCTTGCACAAATGGTTCAAATAGCCGGTTCTGCATGAATTTAGGGATCCCTATTCCTGAATCTTCGATTGATATGACGCAAATCACTTCGTCGAAATCCAAACCACCGATAGGTTTCCAATTTCTCCATTCTGCTACACATGCTGATGTACTCGAAGGACCTGATTTCATGCTCAATCTGGGAGGAGCCATGTGAGGATGGCGCGGCCTGAATAAATTGCTACGAACAGCTATAACTCCTTTTAGACTAGCATCATGGTTGCCATCTGGAAGTTCTGCCTCTGGAATACGCCTTCGTCTTGTATCCACAAGGTCAAGAAACTGCTGGCTTGAGGGAGGAGAAACTGTTTCATAGAAGTAGGGATCCACAAGCCTCACGCACAGAAAGATGCTTCCTTGCTTAGTAAACTGCACAAAAGAAACAAGGAACTTGAGTAAAAGTTTTTCATAGTTCATCAGACAAGCTTCTGCACATCGTAAGTAACACATAACGCAATAAGCATGTCAATAGTGAATTGGACCCGCACCTTGATAGCATTTCCGACGAGATTGATTAAAACTTGACGCAATCTTCCAGGGTCACCGTACAACCACCTGGGAACAGAATCATGTACCAAAGCTGAAATCTCGAGTTTCTTCTGATGCACTTTTTCTTCAAAAAGAGAGAGTATATTGTCCAACTCCTCTCGTATGTCAAAGGGCACTGTTTCTATCTCCATTCTTCCAGCTTCGATCTTGGAGAGGTCTAGAACATCGCTTATCAAGGCCCTGCACAAGCATACAGCCCCCACTCGTCAGGGACTGAACAAGTTCTGAAGCAAATCTAAGACACTATTTACGGAAGATTTCAACATTCTATAAGTACACCACCAGTTTCAAAGATCGCAAAGACGGATACTTACACAAGAGCGTTGCCGCTGGCCTGTGCAATCTTTACATACTCAAGCTGCTGCGGTGTCAAATCCGTGCCCATCAATAAATTTGTCATCCCTGTGCAGAACGATCAGAACCTCAGATGTCGCCTTTTCATTTTTGGCTAGCACTCGCAACCAAAATCCCTTGTAGCATGATCAACGACAAGCCCCCCTTCCAAACTAGCAAGAAAAAATTTGAATTCTGAAGAAGCAACAGTATTACCTATTACGCCGTTCATGGGAGTCCTAATCTCATGCGAAACCGTGGCGAGAAAACTGGACTTGGCTGTATCCGCAGCCTCCGCCTTCACTTTGGCAGCCCTCAATTGAGCATGTATCTTCTCCCTTTGGTAAGCATCTTTTTCAGCAGCGGACATTCTCTTCAACACAAGGTAGACTGCCACGGTGCAAAACACAACTACCGCCAACATAAGCAAGGGCCATGCAATCATCTCCCGCAACACATGCAATCGAATGTTGTAATTGTACCAACACTCCAGCACAATATACTGCGTCCCATACGTGAATGGAACAGAAACCGCCTCAACCGACTTGGACCTCGTTCGGTTCCCGTAGAAGCGAACTTCACAAGGATTTGTGTTTGCACTGCAGTTGTAATAGGAGTTAAGGTCCAGTGCAGAATCCACTTTGGCAATGGCACTGATATATAGGTCTGCGTCCCTGAATCTGTCCAAATTATGAACTTCGTGAGAACAGGTCATAAAATGGCTGTGAGGCAATCAATGTATCAGAGACTATTTTCAGAGCATCTGTTTCTCTCGTTAAAGGTTAACATTCCCTACGAAAGGCAGGCTTTACAGCTTCAACGATGCGAGGAGATACTACTTGTATTCTGACAACGCAGGCTTGAGAACAGAGCAGAGAACGAGGATCCCACATACAAAGGCCACTAATTTGCCTACATCAAACAACGAGGCTGAGAATGTTTGCATACTGACCACTCATCTACCTGTCACCCTAATGAACGGCGAAGAGGAGCAATCAAATGGTTGACACCTCAGTATTCAGCAATTCGGTAAGAGAGAGGGAGAGAGATAGAAAGAATGCGGCATTGAAACAGGTTCTCTAGGCACTTCCCCAAGGTTCAGAAAAACAAAACGAAAATGTACATCCAATAGAAGAAGCTAAATACCAACCTTGAAACAACGGAGCCAAACACCTCCTCAACATTGAGAACGGTCGCTACATAACCTACACATCTGGCTCTTCTGACTGCCTCATTTTTGAGAGTAAGTGGGTCGAAATCGCCATAGTTAGGCAAGAACGATCCCATTCGCCAAAGACCACTCTGCAAGTAAGGTGCTGACAGGGAGAAGCTGCCCGTGTCCCTTGCCTGAATAATTGAACTCTTTAGAATGGGGTAACCGAACGTGTCCATCATGTATGAAGAAACACCGGCAGATTCGAGGATTACAGGTGCATACTCCACATCTGGTTTCCGAGGAAGTTTGATTCTATTCTGGTAGGTGTACATGGTCGCATTGTATTTTTTCTCCACCGCCTGCCTCTGTTCTGGCAAGACGCGCAAACAGTACGCCAAGCTTCTCACATGGGGGCGCAGGAACAAAGTCTGATCTGTGAAAGCTAACCATGTCTGTGGGTCCACATCTGGAACGCTAGTTACCAAACCAAGAATCACAAAGGAGGCCCCTAGGTTGTTATCCACTTCCGACTTGAATACCTGTCCAAGGTGAAAGGGAAACACATGAATACAATCTCGAACTAAAAGCTTTTCCAGCACAAACCTAGAAATGTTTTTGGAAGTACATTTTAGAAGAATTAAATACATAAAGTAGGACTCTCGCCTCATATGTGAATCACAACATTGCATTTGGCTTAATACACGTTCTGCCCCATGCCAGAACGGTCTTGAAGACTATGTGCATCTAGGCGACCAGATATCTAGTCCATTCAGCGTACGCACATTCAACATGCCGAGACGGACTGCGACGACATCTGATCCAGACGTTGAACGTAGATTTACTTTGTCCACCCTCGATGGCAAAATTGCACTGCTACTGCTCACGAGCAGTCACCTTCCTGTTACAAACGAATTCTGGTCCAACAAAAAGAAAGCGCCCCATGCTAGCTCCTGATTTTCCCTTTCAAACAAAATATCTGACACCATGGTTGCTCACAACCCTGGTCTAGAGAGGAGCAGCGTACTTACTTCTTTGCGGTTCTCGCACTTGAGCTGAATCTCCTGCCTCTTATTGGACAAACCATTCTTGTAAACCACCACCCCCACCACAATTACCAGCGTACATGCACACAAGATACACAATATTCTCATCCACCAGCATCGTAAAGGATTCAACCAACACCACCGCCCCAACAACCACATTCGCGGCCTCGTGATCAGGCTGGACTCCATCTCCGACCCCATCGACTCCTGCTCATCCCTCTCTCTCACCGTGCTCATCACCATCGCCCTCGGCCTCGCTCTCCCCCTCCGAATCTCCACCATCGTTACCTGTTGCACCCATGCCAGCGTCCTACTTCCACCAACCCCACTCCCAACCCCGCTCCGCCTCCTTCTTTCCACATCCCCGTCCTGCTGCAACTCCAACCAGACCACCAAACCGAAATTTACCTCACTCTTCACACCCTCTCCCGGCCTCCTCCCAACTCAAACACCTAAACTTCGTCGACAACACACCGCAGCCCAAACAATCCTCGAACCCCGAAAAGTTGGAGATAAACTTCCAGCTAGTGGCCATTATCGCCTAAACAACTAGGTTTTCCGGTTTTCACCGTCTAATTAGACAGCGCAACCACCAAAATTGCAACGCCGAACCAGAATCTGACAGTTCTGCACACCCCACTGCGCAAAACAAGCACACGGCGTCAATGCCGACAAGACACGGCCCACTCAACGATAATCCAACAGTAGATTCATCTAGACAACATCCATCGACCAGCAGCGTTTGCCCACGTCGCTGCCGATCACTTCCAATGGCCCAGATCTGTTGACTTTGAACCCATGGCAGCCTCCTATAACATCGAACTTGCTCGCCAACTCCTTGTACGGTAAAATCCAAGACGCACCCAAGTCCTTTTCGATCCATCTCCGACCCTAAAACACTTCTGGACGTTTCCTGCGTCGCATCTTGGGACAGAACGGGAACTGCTAGCAGAGTCGACCGCTGCCGATGCACACACGTCGCGGGACAGTGCGAAGCTTCGCATACAGTCAACCCTTTACAGCGGCACTTTGCGTAATCAACCGATCACTCTCTGCAGGCAATCAGATATCCCCGGTGTAGGCCTCCATGGCCCGCGAATCAATGCACGCACAAGTTGCCTCCCATATTACAACTTTCCCCAGGTTACTTTAACGACCGCTTCGTAACTTTCCACCTTCACATCGCGCCAGTGGAGTAACCGAACAGATGGCGAATGATCCCAAACGGTGAGAAATACTTCGATGGAAAACGGCACAGATACCAGACAGCGCAATCTAAACCGCTACCGATCTGCTTCCTATCCACAATATTCACACTCCACGATCAGCTTAATTGCAGTCACATTCTTACCACTAAGAGAGACAAACCCAAAGTCTACAGCAGGCGGCGTTAAAGCGTTTTATCCGGCTACAAAACACACGCGGTACCAGTCGAAGTGACTGAGCTCGATGAACACGGGAGAGTGGCCTGCAGGTCGCGGGAGCCTTTTGCAGGGGGTGGACATTTTCCCGGGGCTGGTCAGAACTTACACGGCTCGATAGAGGTGTCGCGGGTGGGGCTGTGCTAGTGTGTTGCTTGCAGGGGTTATTGTAACGCCACTGAAGCCACAGAGTGATCGACGCTCAGACAAGTGTCCGCGTTCAAAGAGTGCCCATTGGCGCACATTAGCTTTTGGTGACGTGGCGTGCCTCGTCCCCCTCTATTGGATTCCATGTGTAATGGTCGGGTAAAATATTATTCAATGACGTTTTTTTCAGTTCATGGGTTGTAAAGGCGAGACAAAATGTCCCTGAAGCCCGTGTCCAGATAGGATGTAATTTGGATGAACGTTGCCGTGGTGGATTTTCATCCGATTGAGCAATTTGGGCAAGTCCAAATATTTTAGGGTTTTGGGTTTTAAAAAGAACAATACACAAACACAAACACATTAATTAATTTCTGAATGCAATATGGAAAGTGAATTATTATTACTCTTACTTCGCAAAATGAATTCATTGTAACAAAAGCATATTTTGTGAAAGAAATTTAAAATAAAAAGTAGTGTGCACAAGTCTTGACCAAATGAAACATCATGAAGAAGTAAGGTATTTTTTACAAAAGAATAATTAAAAAACCCATAGCTCAAAAGTAATTATATCAATTGTATTCTATTGAAGGATAATTCAATTATTTTATGAGATTGAAACTTGTTATATTCATTATTGGAGTTCTATCCATCCATGATGAACATTGAATTTGGCATCATTATATTTTGTTTTTGGTTTGATTGATGATTCAAAACATGGGTTAATTGATAGTTCACTTCACTTAACTCGTCCACATCAATTCTCATTCCAAATTCATCATTTATTTATTTATTTATTTATTTGTTATTATTATTATTCTCTTCTCTCTTTTCTATCTTCTATTGTTTGTATGTTTACACCACTTGACTATGTAACCATACAATGTTTTACAATATCTGTGTACACAAGACTTGATTCAACATACATCATGCACAATAATGTGTTACAAGAGTTATTTTGAATGAAAAAAAAAAAAAGGAAAAAGGAAAGAAAAAAAAGGAACATGTTCCAGAAATTTACGTTTACTTCCAGCTCTCCAAGTTTTGAATTCTTGGATTTCAAAGTGAATTAACAAACACTCATTTACAAAAAAATACAAGTACCTTCAAATTGTAGATTAAAATAGTTTAAAAAGTTAGTGTAGGTAACACACATTATTGTACATCAATAGATTTATGTTCCATTGTTATTCAATAGCAAGTTTTGTAATTGGCTCTCAAAAATGGTCAATTGGATCAACAAAAGACCCATCCAAAAGATTCCCAAAAACCCTAAAATGATGTGAGATGGAAGTAAACATAAGTGTTGCTCATCGATACATCCAAATGGATTGTGCATGAGAATTGAAAGGTCCTCAAATTTTACATGAGTAAACAGATGCACGGCCTACAAAATATATTACAAAAATCCCATTGGATAAAGTTATGAATATTATGCAAGCTACAATTGATTGTGAATTCCATTCATGCATGATCCACACATTTCAAGTTTCGTAACAGTCTTCATGATACGTATTTGTAGGATAGTTATAAACAAACAGTTAAGAACAATTCTTATTTAAATCCTTATAAAATGTGTAAAGCAATGCAGTTGACCTATTTGAATGATAAGACATTGGCTGAATTATTAGCTACAATTTCTTAAGAAAACCACCTTAATTTGCATTCTCTTTTATTGAAACACGTAAAATTATGATAATATTAGAAAGATGTCAGTTTTCATTTAAAAAAACATGTGAAATATGAAGAACCTCGGTTGCAAGGAGTTTGTCTTTTCCTTCCTTCCAAATTGTGCTTCTAAAGAATTTTTGCATTCTACTTCGTTTGAAAAAATCAGAAAAGGATGACAATGGAAGGTTCCACTTGGAATCAAGATATGAAAAACATAAATTGCCAAACAGTACGTCTCTCTCTCTCTCTCTCTCTCTCTCTATATATATATATATATATATATATGTATATATATAATATAATATAAAATACAGCTTATGTTGAGGGAGAATCGTAAAAAAGTATATATGAGATTTGTTTGTTTTCTTAGCATATCATCAAATTAATTAAATAATTCTTATTGATTTAACTTCAGCCCATGCCACAAGGATCCAGATTTTATATATATACATATCTATATATATATATATATATATGTATATGGTATGGAAGTCCAAATTATCAAGTACTTAAATTAATAGTTATAGAATTACAGAATTCAGTAACAAATGCAAATCAATACTACAACATTGATTTGTTTTTATAAACATCAAAACTGTAAAACATTCATTATAACTTTATTTGGCAATGCAATTAACGTTGTCAAATACAAAGAGCTCAAAAAGATTTTATTTATTTATTTATTTCAACCTACATTCGGAACATAGAGAGGAATCCCCAAGATGTTTCTCGATTGAATTAATTTTATTTTAGGAACAACTGTAAACAAATTAGTTAAAAGCTTTTATTCATTTGGTAAGTGTGAATGGTACTTAAATAATAAACTCATAATCATGAATTTATGTTAGACTTATCGTACTCTACAGAATTCTGACATAATTCAATGTTTAGTTGGTTATTTTCTTTAAATAGCACTTTAACGGATATGTATTAGAAAATACAGGGGATGGCATGTCAAGTCATTCAAATCCACAAAACCTTAGTTTAACATTCATTTTTCTGTGGAAAACTTATCAAAATGTGATGATTGGAAGATGATCATTGTTCACTGATTTAAATATTAACTTCAGTAGCCATTGAAAATTAAAAAATTACTATTCATTCAAATTATATTATGTAAAAACATTGCAGTGTAAGATTCTCAATTCAGATATAATATTTATTCTTGCTACGATTTCAAAAACCAATGTAATGGGTTACCTGTTTTAAATTTGGTTTCGTGGTTATGTAAATGACCATCACAGAGAATTGATTATTAGATTTTAAACAGTCATTGTACAACTGTCGCAGGAGGTTTTTATTTTTCTAGTTTTATGTTGTAAACATACATATTTGTATACCGTACTGAATTAATTTTGACATGCTTGCCTTGTTTGAAACGAACTTGAATTGTTAACCATGCTTTAACATGCAAACATTGAACAGTCTTTTAATGTAATAGGTTTGAAGCACAAACACCTTACATTTACACACACACACACACACCTCTAGTATTCCATATTTTAAATATCATTTTTGATCGTGCTTGGTTTAATTGGTGTTTTTGTCATGTAACTCATCAAATGAATCAATATGCATAGCAAACACAACTCTTAAAAAAAAGTTGTAATCAAATATTTGTTCTTGCTTTGTGTATACTGTATGAGTTCCTTCACGACTAAAACATATTACTTTCTGAAATTAGAGGATATTAAATGGAAAGAAACAAGTTTTTGAGAGAAAACACGTACAAAAAAGTTATGTAAGACACTGTAGATTAATTCAGAGCATAGTATCAAGCTGCAAGGATGCGAGTTCTAGAACCCCGCCACCGGAAAAATTCTCGCGGGTCCACCTGCGGAAGCGCAATCTAACTTCTTCGAAACGACGATCGGGTAACAGAAAGGGCGCCCCGGATTCCGAAATCACAGCCGCATCCCGACACCAAATAACGTTCGAAAATATCGCCACGATCAATACGCTCCAGAGGTGCACGCGGGGAATCCAGAGTTAGTGGCTACGCAACATTGTTGGTCGATGTCGGACACGTACTCTCTAGAATCACTACCGCTCATCGCTCGAGGACGAACAACACCACATGGATTATCGGTTTTTTGTGTGTTTGAATCACTGCTAAGTTGTATGGGTGAATACCGCCGTGTCGTATGCGCAAGGGGTTCCAGGCTCGTTGATGCTCGTATGCGGTGGCGGGTTCCGATCCTATGACGGGTTACATGGTGATGGCGTGATGTGCTTGCGATGAGCTCCGGCTGACGAGCTCTATGACAGTGTTCATCGCGTGCGATTAGTGCAGCTGATGAAACGATACTGAGACGAGAGAGCAAGAGAGAGAGATGGAGCAGGCGAAGAGTTTGTTTGACAGTCAAGGGTGACGAAGGTGGAAGCCAAAGGAGGGTGCCGTGGCAGAATTTGCTGACTTGCGCCGTGGCCTCGTGAGGCTTTTCTAGGGTGGATGAAAAGTAGGGTCACCTCCAGAATCAGTCTTGATCTATTATTCGCCGAGTTGTGTGTACCAAGTAGAGCTCTATGGTGGGAAGCAGGCGTCTAGTTAGTCAATGGGACACGTGGAGTACTACTGCATTCAGTTGATGCTATTTGTGTCGAGATTCAACTGGAGAATGGGACTTAAGGGCCCCGGAAACACACGCCCCCCCGACCTGTACATTGCATATGAATTTCATCTTATTGATGTTTATTATTCACGTGTTACATTTGGGAAAATAGTTTGCCAAACTAATGGCTTGTTTATTTATTGTTGAATATTTATTGAAGAATTTCGAGATAGTAAGAGAAGGAGAATATGGTGTTGTAGATCAGATTTATAGCACCTTATCTTTGGTATTATTTACCAAGTATGCTACACCAATTTGATGAGATGAGGTATTTTCAACTGTGTTCATCACTCTTGCCTCTCTTCACATGCCCAATTTCTTATCTTAGATTAACTTACTACATATATTCATTCTAACTGGATACAAGTGAAAGGGTGGTATCACCAGGGCCACTCGGAGGTGTTGGAATTTTGCCGCCGGGGGTAGAAGGTGGCGTGACAGAATGTGAGCTTCGCAACCGTCTTTGTACCTACTCCATCCAATCGATCCCCACACCGATCCACGAATGAAACGGGGGGAAGGGGGGACGAGTTATTTTATTTGGTTGTCTTGAACAAGTGATGTAACGTTGGAATATCTTAAACCGTCAACTTAAGGTTTTTTTGCTATCTTGGGGGGGTTTTTCTTCTTGAAAAAAAATTGAATCACCGCAGTGGTTGAATTGGTAAAAATGTTCAAAGTAGTTTTTTCGTTTTACCCCTGAATTGAGTCGTAGAATTGAGCAAAACCGTATGTAAAAACAGGTTAAACCACCACCTCCATCACAAAAAAACCACCGCCTTCGTCGTTGTAAAATCTGCCGATCATTGGTGGACTTGGAATCCATTCGGAATCTTTCTACTTTTTTCACAGCGATTTTGGGTTTGTACTGGCGCGGTTTCTGACAAGGTGTACGAGTTGGTTCAAGAGTCTGACACGGTTCAAGGTATTACTACGTTAAACATAAGTTCAAAAATTTCAGTCTTTTCAGCGATTCCGCAGAACAGGAACCCAGCTCTCACTCTGACCTTGTCACTTCGTTCTTTCCTCATCCATGCTTGTCTACAGACATAAATGTTGGTTAGCTGTCTCAGATGTTGTGAGCAACTGGACAGGGTTAGGATTCAGGGCGTGTTAAAATGTTCTGGTGCGAGGAGTTATTTGAATTTTCTGTTCGTCCAGTACCAGGTTCCAGTTGAGTACCTATTCCGCCATGGCCGTTTTCCAGTGCATGCATTTTGAAATGACGTTCTGATTCTGTTTAATTGCATAGTAAAGAAACAACCGCACAGTTACTTGGAGGTGGATGAGCTGAAGTTTAGGATGAATATTTCTAAAAGATGATTGAGCGGAGCACGGGAGCGTTGCAAGATCTCGGGTAGCATTGGGAGAGAGCTGGGATGCCGTCACCGACACCTCGAGCAGCACTGTAGCATTCTCAACTCCACTTAATGCAAAGCCTATCGTTGATTCGTCAACTGGCGCAACTTAGAAAGGGAACGTTACGTGTGTCGGCTGATTTCGAATGAAGCTGGTGTTTCGCAGAAGCAGCTCCTTGCTAGCTTGAGCGTTTGGGGTGAGGTTTCTGCGAAGAGTGATCCAGTCGAGATGAAGCCCTGCGGATTTCAAGTCACCGAAAAGGACCCAAGATTTCGGAGCGATAGGTTTCGGTGGTAGATTATTTCGGAAGATCCCTGGAGCTTGGGAATTTTGAGCCAGGAAGGTTGTGGAGTGATGAATCAATTCCAGTGGTTCGCAACAGGTTGCTGGAGCGCTTCGAATTGGCACCCTTCGTTGGGAGATTCAAGTAGGAAGATGTGTTCGAAGGCAAAAGTGGCATCCATTCAAGGCACACGTTGAAGTGCGTCTTCTAATGCTAACGTTCTTTGACGCTACAGTTTGATAGAATCGCTTTCAGAAAGACCAAGGGTCAGACTATCTTTACGATACAGCTGCGTACCATTGCAATTCAGAAGGAGCGTGTGATTTGCCGAAATCCAGTGGGAAAAAGTGTTCTGCAGGTGGGAGCTAGGTCGCTTGTATGGCAGAATAAGTAAACAACAGCCAGAATGTTGCACTGGCGTGATCCGAAGATAGCTTGGTTTTTTCGATTTCAAGCTTCAAAAGTAATCATGCATTCCGATCTATGACGTTTGAACGAAACTGGTGCTGGTGTTACGAAAGTGCCACATTAGAGGCAACCATACAAATCCATTCTTCAGCTGGACAAGCCCTGACGCTCCACGCGCCATCCTGGACCTGTATTTAGGTGGCGGATGGCGGTGAAGGACAAGAGATGGAGCGCAGCAAAACTAAGAGATGGATTTCGAAGAAATTACTGCTCCCGTTGTGGCACCGGACGTCATGCCCAACAAGCCGTTGCTAATACTATCCGTAGTGCTTGGGTGGTTACTTGCTTGCGGCGTCGTCGCAATACTATGGAAGTGCTCTCTGAAGTCTTTATAGGACGAGTTCTATCTAAAGTGTGAGAAGCGGAAGGAGGTGAGTCCCATTGAATTGCCGCATCAACGTCATGGATTTCTTCAGATTGTGCTGTTAACGAACTCCTTAACAAATGTTTTAAACAAGTGTGATATTTCTTTGCTTGCCAGATTCTGAAGTCACAAGTAGAGAACAATCTGAACGCTTTGTTCGTAATAATCGGCCTGGTGGCGAATCTGCCAGGTCTCAACGAGATCACATGGAACAAATTCACTTCACAAACGTTATTTCTCCTTCCTCATGTGAAGAGGCTGGTTTACATGGAGCGAGTGTTGCACAGCGACCGGCCAGCCTTCGAGAGGAAATGGAATGGTAGCATCTCTTACCTCGAAGGCAATGCTACATTTCCGAGGGGCATCGACACAGAGTATGCCCCCATCTTGTTTGGAGCGTCAGATGTACCACATAGATTTCTGGATCCGTCAAATTATCCATTCCTCAAGTTTGCTATCCATGCTGCACGAGACACCGGTTTGTTCACGCTTTCGCCAGCAGCTGGAGGGCCACTGTCATGGCAGATGGGAGCTTATCTTGCATACTACGGGGCAGGTAGGGAAGGATCTTCGTTCGCTTCCGTAGTAGAGCGTACGCAGGCATGCCTCGGATACGTGGGAAGAGTGGTAAATATATCAGAAATCTTCTCGAGGGTCCTTTCAATGTTAGCCACAGTCACCAGTGAAAGATAGTTCGTAGGGCTTAGAGTTAGACGTCGTTCTTTTCATACTGTTCGCATATGATGTGATGATTGACTTTGGTGATGTGAATTAAGTGTGCATAGGGTCGTCCACAATGTGGAAATGGACATGGTGGCTGAGTATCTTGTGGATTCCTCAGCAGATAGAGACCCTAGTTACAATTGCAGCGCAACGGGGACCGCTTGTGCAGTGGCCTCGTATGACCCAGCCCATAGAACCGTAAATGCCTCGGCTGTGGCAGAGGTCCGGTGGAGTTATGGGACGCCGCAATTTGCGCTGCGCTGCGTACCCTATTCTTCTCCATCATCGTCTTTCTTGTATGTAAGTGAATACAAGCTATTGAGAGAGACGTCAGGGTTATAGAGAAGATGAATGTCGATCTCGAGGCTGCCAAACTTGCTGCGGAAGTGGCTGATAAAGCCAAGTCAAACTTTTTGGCAACAGTTTCTCATGAAATCAGGTACGACGCCCTGGTTATTCCACTGCTTAGGTCAAATGATTCCGATGACACTCGATTGGCTGGCTTTTCTATCTCCATATCTGTCGTTCTCATTACAATTTGCGGTGTTACTAACCAGAGTCTGCATTTCTGACTGTTTGATGCAGGACGCCCATGAATGGAGTAATTGGTGAGTGTTTCCCAGTGTCCTGGCTTCTGCAGTGTCAAAATGTCCTTCGTTTATATCTCGATGTATGGAATATTTTTAACCATTTTAAAATATGATTTTAATTATTCTGTCTCCTATTTTGACTTTTTACAGGAATGGCCAATTCGCTGATGGGAACAAACTTGACACCTCAACAGCTAGATTATGTTAAATTTGCACAAGCAAGTGGAAATGCGCTTTTGTATTTCATCTTAATCACTTTTGACATCAGGCGTAGTTCAGTTCTGAGCTTATCATTAATCGGAATATGCATATTAAACATCCTTGATAGACCCAGAAAGGAGAATTCAGTGTTAAGCACCTTGCTAGAGACCCCATCCTGTAAATTAAAGGTTTTTCTAAGTGGTTGCATGGTGCTTCTGTCAGTGCGATCATCAACGATGTTCTGGATTTGTCCAAGCTTGAGGCCGGGAAGATGGAGCTTGAAAGTGTTCCTTTTAACCTCCGGAAACAAGTGGATAGTGTTTTCACTTTGTTTGATGATAAATTGCATCAGAAGAAGCTTGAAGTCTTCATGCTCGTCCACGAGCCTGTTCCAAACTTAGTTGGTGATCTTGGTCGATTCCATCAGTTAATGGATTTTGTGGTTCCGCATCTATTTTATTCGCAAATTCTTCTTATATTGTGATTGTGTAAGGGTAAACTCCATCAAAAGGCTACTGCTAACAGTTACCCTTCCATATCTGCGTATTTGCATATTTGACTTGATTAAACATTTGACGTTTGTGCAGATCCTGGTCAATCTTGTCAATAATGCCTTGAAGGTAAGCATGGCTCTGGCTTCGCCCTATCTCATATTTGCTCCTCATCCGCGATTTCTGTAGATAAACCTCCTGTAGCGTTTGAGTAAGCTTTGTTCAAGCTCAAACTTCAGCCAAAAAACGGCAAAAAATGCCCTTGTCGATTGAACTGTTGACTCATGCTTTCCGGCTGTATATTAAATTTCAAGGTACTAATATTTTTTTCTTCATGCATTCAGTTTACAAAAGAAGGGAGCATCCTTGTTTCCGTTCGCGTGATGGACCCTTATTCGGAAAAGGACCACAATGGTTCGAGTTCTGAACCTGTCGGCTTGGTGAGCTCAGATCCAAAAGCGAAGGGGTCCATACAGCTGTCCCAGGTACTGCCTAACGCGAGCTATGGATTGGATTCCAGTAAAGTTTTAAGGGGCGGAGTTTTTAGAAGAGACGAAACAGACTTAGCAAGAGGCAATACTGCTCCAAGGCTAAGCATGCATTCTGGAGACGAGGGGAATACTAGAGAAGCCGTAGAAGCATGGAGGGCCTGGAAATTAACTACAATGTCAGGTAGAAACTGCAAGCCACCAAATAATTTCACGGTCATAGTTTCCGATACAGGTGATTGGCTTCGAAAGTCCACTTGATCATGCAGAGTATGGAACTCATTGTATGATCTTATTGAGTTTGTGAGGGGTCGCATTTTCAGACACTGACCTCTATGATTTTCCTGTAGGTATTGGTCTTCCTCGTCATCTGCAGGACCGTTTGTTCCAACCCTTTTCGCAAGCTGATAGCAGTACCTCCAGAGAGTATGGTGGGACTGGCATTGGCTTGTCAATATGTCAGGTAACTATCTCTTTTTGTGAGGGTGAGCAGCCGAGCAGTGTAAGCAACTTCATGTTTTGTCTTTTCGCAAGACGTTTTTCCCACGTTTGGTTTGCTTAGCTCAATTTACCCTTTGACAGGCGTTGGCATAACCTTTTTTTACAGAAATTAATCTACCTGATGAAGGGGGCTCTCATAGTGAAGAGCAACTCCGGGGAGGGGAGCGTTTTTGAGTTTACTCTTCCTTTGTCTGTTCCGGAGACGACCGATGGAAATTTATGCAGCTGCGTGAAAACCTCAATTGAGGAAATGACGAAGTTGAAAGGGACACGGGTGGCTCTTGTTGACAACAACGATGTCCGCCAGGTATTCATAATCACAATTTCAAGTTATCAACAACTTCCCGCGCAGCAACTAGTGTTCTCATCATCCAGAAGTAATAACCGTCAACAGCTGTTATTCTAAAAACTATCTACTGTGGTGCAGGAAGTTACAGCTAGCTATTTGCGATGCTTAGGCATTGATGTTGTTAAGTTTTCTGAGGACGCGTCATCCACTTTGAACTTCTTACTAAAGTATGAACGCTTCCACAATGTTTTTGACTTGGATGATTGCCATGCTGATTGTGCGATAAGCTTATGAGGAGATTCAATCAAGATTTCAGCGTACAGTAAGACTTGTTCAAATATTTCAAGCTTGTGTTCGCAGGGATCAAAACCCAAAAGTGCATGCAGTTATGGTTGATCTTAAAGGGCTGCTGCATGAATCTGCCGTGGAGTTGGCGTCTTCGATTCGCCAGGTTCTAGGTTTCAAGACTCTTCCTGTGCTAGCGCTTTCAACGGGCCTCAGGCCTGCTAATGAGAAGGAGCTCAAGGGTGCTGGGTTCCCCCACATCATCAACAAGCCACTTCGGTATAATACACTCGCTTCTGTTCTGTTGGAAACGGTCGGTGTACCAGCCAGAGCTCCCATGAAGAAGATGAACGTCGATTCTAAAATGATGAGCGGCAAAAGACTCCTAGTGGTAAGGCAGCAGTCTTTATGAAATTTATGTTAGCCAGCTCTTCTTCATTGTCACAAGGCTAAAGCGCATTGTTTTGTGAATTCTACCCAGATGGACAACAACATGGTGAATAGAAGAGTAGCATCCTCAATGCTTTTTCGAAATGGCGCAACAGTCAAAATTGTAAATTGCGGTTTGGATGCTGTGACAGCTGTGCAAAATGTATAAAAAAAAAAAAAAAAAAAAAAGAAAAATAAGGCGAGGAGTTCGACTTGGTTTTGATGGATATCCAGATGCCGGAGGTAATTAAACTTTTTGCCACTATTTCCATTAACTGCCCTGAAGGTTGTTTTGGGGTCGGCATTATCTTAGTGCTAGTTCCGTTCGGAAAGGGGGAGATTAAAGCGTCCTGTCAGCTGAGTAACGGTGGGATTTGCAAAAACACGGGTGGATGGTTGGGAAGCCACACGGCGGATACGACGATGGGAAATGGAGACTTGTAGCTTGTGCCAGAATGCAGGCGGGGATTTTTGTTCTCATCATCGGCTACCCACAGTTGCTGTGACAGCAGATGTGATTGTGAAGACACGATCCATGTGCTTTCCTTCGGGAATGGACGACTATATAACGAAGGTAATGTTGCTTTTGACCTGAATTTGATGAAGCAAGTGTTTACAGCTGAGTTTTTTAGCTTGCATGTTTCCTTAAGCTGCATGATTGATTGTCACATTCATGTCATCAACTCTTTTTGAGATTGTATTTGACTATAATAGTTCCTTCGCGTCTTTCCTCCGTGGCAGCCACTTGATCAGAAGAAATTACATGTTTTTCTAGAAAGGTTTCTTAGGAATGACTTTGTGAACGCACCCCTAGCGATGAAAACTGGAGCTCCTTCAGGTTGTAGCACACGCCATTTGTTGTAAAAGGAATTAATAATTAATCCTGTCAAGCGGGGTGGGCTCCTTGATTTGCGGTCAGCGAATCCAACAGATTTGTTCGTGTAATTAATTCCAAACCCTTGTTTTGGGTGTTCAGTGCTAATGTCTCAAATTGCAGACTGGTTTATTGTTGCTGATAAAGGATCTCCTCGATTGTCATGAGCGAGAAACACCTCAAAGGTGTATGAAACGAACATTTTTATCCAGCTTGGACTTTCCAGTGTACTGTAATACTCAAATCTGTAGGAGAAATTTCGAAGAAAGACATGAGAAATACTGCAATGGGGTTTCGTGCGATCGAAGATGTACGAAGCTGTTTCCAGAATCTATGTGCAAATTATGTTTCCAGGATGGTAGATATGTGCACAGAGCTCATGCGTGGGTGGTTTAGAGATGCCACCCCCTGGTGTTGGAGGCTAACCCTAAACAGCTTCTGTATTAAGCATTACGCTTCCTAGAAAATTAGACAAATTAGACTATTTCTAAATTGCGAAATTCCCTCCATCTTAAACAATGATAATAATGTCATCCATTATTATAAATTACAATCTGTTCATAACTATAACCCAGCCACAGCCTCTTTGCGGCACTTGCCCATCCGAGGTTTCTCGCTGGACTCGTGCATCCCAGAGTGTGTAGTACTGCATAGATTTCAGAGCGAAGACGTTTTCGTGTTGTTGTGGGCAAGTGAAGACCTTAATCCATGCTTGACGCTATCGACTATGATGTGAGAGACGGTACAGCGGTGGCCTCATCGTGCCCAGTAGGGCCGAAGTCGAGTTCTGACTCAACGTCAAGCGTTTGTTCTCAATTGGATTGAATTCGTTTCGAAGGCAACAGTCGATGAGGCTACGCCTCAGAATAGATGCGAATCAGAAGGATTGGCGCCGTGCTCTCTTACATGTGCCAGTGAATCCCTGGCTACCGTCCTTGACCAATTCAACCATATTGAATACGTCAAAGTAATGAAATGTTTTTTTAGGGAGGGGATGCGTACTGTATTAGACAGTCCCAAAATTGTATTCTCGCGCCTGCATGGTTGGAGGCATAGAAGTTAATAAGTCAAATGTGGTATTGATGTCAAGAAGGATGTGGTGAGATTTGGCCTCCATTACAGGAGCTGTCGCGATAGCTCTTGGGGTGAGTTGCCGACAAAGAATGATGGATTTGCCGCTTGAGAATCAACTCCGAGCAGGTATTTTTCAACAATGTAGGGGCAGTCGCTGGGTAGAACGGGAACAACTTCATTGCCGAAGAGAGTTGCGAGAACCTCGCCTCCTCTCTTGCATGTAACGAAAATGAAAATCGGGTTTTTGAGTGAAGAACTGAAGGTTGTTAGTAATGGCTACCAGGGGCCAATCATGCATTCAAGATGGCTGCAGCGCCAGATAATAGTCTTGAATTGGTCGTCGAAAGGGTGACATTTAAAGGTCTCTAGATGGGTCAGACACTTCAGTAATTGACACCAGGATAACTGCAAGAATGATGCGGTGTTCCACTGCATACTGGTCGATCCAAGCTGCCTCCTCTTATTCGCTCAGTGAATTGTGAAGATTGTGGGAGGTAGGGATGATTTCTCGCAGTGCGAGGGAGGGTTCATTCACAACACATTGTAGTTGTGATTGCATGATAATAACTTGGAAACAAACAACTGCATTAAAGGAGTGGTTGCGAGTGGCGTTCGTTTCTATAGTTGATGGTTCGTGAAGCGGTCCTGTTTCGAATATGTCTTGGCAGAGCCGAAGTCAAAACCTTTACTAGTCGTCAATGTTTCGAGAGGTGTTGGCGCTGCATCTGTGTTAGTGGAGGTGGCCCCTGTGTGCACAGGCAACTACAGCAGTTACAATAGGCGGTGTCTCTTGTAACTAGTAGCTTGTTTGCACTACTAGTACCCGGGAGAGGATCTAGCACAATAATTCTGCGGAAAATTAAGAGGAGGGCCTTCGCTCTGAATTCTGTAGCTTTGGCTCTGTGGGAAAGAGTATCTTCAATCAAGAATTCCCAAATCCTGCGAAGGCATTCTTCGTTCCTGAAACAGTTGGGTACACTGGATATTGAAGTCGATTAAGTGCGTCTGTCTCCTCGGAAGAGAAAGCCGTGCCTGAGTGCGTGAACGGTACCTCACGGCGTTTGTAATAGTAGGCGCAGTTAAAGACTACCGACGTTGCTCCCGTCTTCTTGAAATTCATCCTTAAAAAGCTGTTGGGTGTGAGTGCACACGTACTAATGCATCAGGCAATATTGCCATAACCCAACTTCGTAACGCTTGGTCACCGGGAATAAGTCGCAGAAAATCGTCAATGCCTGTAACGTTATTATGTTAGAGAGGATCTGTAGCTCTTGTGAAATGAGGTCTAATGTCAAAAACTTGTGTGTTAGAAAGCCTCTAAACTTGGAAAAAATGCTTCGTTTATGACCACTTGTGCTATTCTCGAGCTACTCAGGAGCTATTCTGGTACTATTATTCTTGAGCTACCTAAAAAAGCCTTGGCAAGTTTTATGGGTCGAATTGTCATTACTTGAACACTGGGCCAGTTAATTGACGAACTTAGTTGCGAACTTTTCAAAGAAACTTCTAAAGATTCTTTTTTATTTTATTTTAATAGACATGTATTTTCTGTTCTGTTAAACAACTAAAAAGACGCTCATGTATCTATTCTTTATAAAGCCAAAAGCCTCGAGACTTCCGAGCTGCAGAGATTCGTGAAAGACATGAGATAGAAAAACAGACTCCCGAAGAGGTTAGAGTCGTGAAGAGTCTGGCTATCAAACAAGCGGTTTACTCTAAGAGCCGAGGTAATATATGGGAAAAATCAAACCATACTACTAATCGTGCATTATCAAACTGAACTCCTTATCGATACTGAATTTCTAGAAGGCCACATCAATCTGTTAGAGCACATTAAAAGAGCCAGTAATTTTTTGAAGGATAGCGTACTTTGAGAACGCTGGAAGTCTTAAATTAATCTCTTCCATCCAAGTGCATTCTTGGATGATGCACTTTGTCTTCCTATTTTCTATTCATTCGATACACTAGGGCCAACCAAACACAGGAGATGACAACTGAGCAGAAATATTTGCCACTATTAAATCGACATGGCGCTGTAGACGAATAGTCAAGATTGAGGACCACTGACATTGTGAACATTTTAATGATGCCAATTCTGATTTCTGAAGTAAATAACTGAATCCTCTCTGAGAGAGGAAGCCTTAAAGAATACTTAGTCTGCAGAGCCAAGGTCAACGCAATTTAAAAGTAGTGTACGTCACAACCCGAACAGCTGTGATGCTTTTAAACGACCGTGCGACTTCAGACTCATAATATGATGCTTCCAGTCAGTAGACATAGGTTAACACATTCTCACATATGGCTTCTTTAAACAGTAGTAGAGCATACTTTTGAGCTCGATCTTTGTTACTATACGAATCAACACATCCAATTTTGGCACTCTTTTTCAGCCAGATCTGACCAACCATCCAGCAAATAAAGTCAAACCCTCGCCTTCTTCGCCCTCCCTCCCCCAAACCTTTTCATGAAAGGGCTTACTGGCAGCGCTCATCATCACCATTTGAATCCCAAAAACTGGTAGGGCAGTTTAGGTTAACAAAGTCAAACTGACGTGGTGTTAGGTTTATACATGCTCTACGAATGGATTTCCGTTGTTTAAACGGAGCCTCCAATTCCAAGAACCTAAGTAATCCGAGAAGCTCGAGTGCGTTGAGGAATTCAATTACTGCAGAAACGTAGCAGTCACTACCAAGCTCATCCTAAGAAATTCCACACGAGCCACTGAAATATGCACTAGGAGGTTAAAAGATGTACACAAATAACATAAGCATCACATGTATATAGTCACGAGCCATGTGTAAGAGTAACGTAAGGGGCTGCAAAGTTTAAATGACGGACTTTGTCCTTGAGCAGTGATTGCATGAGCCACAAATGGCAGCGGAAAGCTGAATTGCAAACTCAAGAGTCGAGGTTGTCTGAACCCAAACCGAACAAAACACCAGCATATTTTTCTGTGGAACCATTAAAGAAACCATCCTTCAACTTGCGAAAAGTGCGAGAAGTGAGCAAACTATCAGACCCGGCCTGATGGCAAGGACCAATCCGCTCCACGTCCAATGTCTCAGCCAGGCGATTCAAACCGCCATGCAAATTGTCGCAAAACTTCATCAGGTACTTGATATCATACAGGGTGGGAAAATACGTCCGCAGCAAGTTAAAGAATTCATCCTCACTTGTCGGAAGATTCTGGCAAGTAAGTAGCTTCAACAAGTAGCCAAAATCGTATCCGCTATGGAAAGTGATCCAATGCACATTTTCATTCAACACAATTCCTGAAGACATCAAAAGCTCGCCGAATCTTTGTGAATCAATCCCTCGCTCCTCGTTTTGCTGGAAATCAATTCCGCTCTGTTTCAGCAGCTCAATTGAGTCATGTGCATACACATCTTCTCTGAGGTTAAACTCCCGGAAATTGAATTGCCACACGCACGAATCCCGAGAACCACACCGCGGTAGGACCCCGTTTTCGTCTGAAAACGTGAGCCCCAACTGAATAAGTTTGAGCATGTCCACATTCGCCCTAAGAGTTTGATAATGATACTCTGCACTGTTCTTAAACGTGCCGACGGGTCTCACCACCACTCCGGGAAACTCCGTGTCCATCGCAACGTAAGGATACTCATCAACAATGTCTCGTATCAGCTCAAACTCGTCCTCCAGGTTATCGGCCCATACCTCCCGGATGCGGAGGGAACCTCCGTTTGCAACAATCGACATGTAGTTGGGGTTTCCTTCTTAGGATTCTTCGTCCTCCGCTCTCCAAACCGCTCCCCCTCCTCCACTGTAGTTGCATAAGCCGCTCGCCTTCTCTGCTCTGGCTAAGGCTGGCACCTATAGCCCTGCGAGTCTCCACCTCTATGCCTTCTACCCTCGAGATTCTCTTACACCACATAAGAAAGCGACCACACAAAACAAACCCAAAATATAACCAACACCACCAACAACCCGAACCAACAACATTCACTCTCTAAACACACACTCCTCTGCTCCGCTTCTCCATAGGCTCATCACCTTCTGTTGCAAGCTTCACAAACGCACTCACCCACCACTGCCCACTGTGGAAATCGCCAGAACACAGCAGAATCGACTCAGAAACTCCCGCATCACATATTCAAATCCCTATTCACCGCAACACCGTCCAAAGCACGCGAACAGGCATAACTACAAGGGGGACAAACTGAGCAGCGTGAACACAGCGAGGAATCCAGGAAAATGTAGAAAAGGCCAATAAGGGGGGAAAGGGTATCTTGCAAGCAAGACAGCTTTAATCGGAGACACAATCACGGCGGGAAGGGAAGAATAAGCTGTGCGAGGGAAGCGCAAGGGAGGAAGAAGAAGAAGAAGAAACGGGGTCTAGCGGGGGCACAGGATCAAAGCACCCGCACCACCATCACCACGACGAGGAGGAAGAGGACTTGGACGGACGAACGGATGACGACAACGAAGAGGACGACGAGGCTCCCTTGGTAGTAGGCGACCTACGTCCCCCCGCAACCGCGGTTGGGCCACTGACCCGGCCTGATCAGACCTGCGGTCCAGACGCGGATTCACCGCCGCTGCCCACCTTTGGAAAAAGCAAAACACGACAAAAAAAAAAAGGAAACATCACATCCTCTTTTGCGAAAATGTCTGCTATCCAAGCCTTTTTTTTTTTTTTTTTTTTTTTTTTTTCATTTCATTTAATTCAATACTTCAATACATATATATATATATATATATATATATAAAGAGAGAATTGTTAAAATTACCAAAGAATTTACTAAATCAATCCATCTATCTTAACCATCGTTAATATATTCTCCATTGCCAAATCCACATTAGTCAAGAACCAATGAAAAAATTGTTGTATCCTCAACCAATGGATGGGTTGATTTAGTAATTTCTTGGATTAATTTAACAATTTCTTATATATCTATATATTTCTAGAATTTATTTTTTATTTTTATATAAGTTTTTGTCATGGATATACATAGGTACTCTAATAAATATTTATATAATTAGGTAGAAGTAAGTAAAAGTAGATAAAAATATGTTAATTTCATAATACCTTCTAAAATAGCTTCTTAGAAGCTTTATAGATGTTATTTTGACTTTACATGTCTTTGTAGTTGATTGATAGGTTAGAAACTTGATCAACAAGCTAATCATGTGTTGATAGCTTGTAGAACAAGGTAACTATGTGGCGCACATATAGAAAACTTGCCTTGCAAGTTAAGATATGTGTCTTGAAAAATCAACACATTTTAGAGGTCCTATGGGACTAATGACTAGAAAGGCATTGACAATTTGAAAAGAGTACCAACTTATTGTTTTTATCTTATTTTAGAAGTGAGTGGATTACTCTACTTCTATTGTTTTATTTTGAAGGTTGTAGATTATCCATCTTTAAACAAACAATCTTGTATTTTGATACTAATATTTTCTTTAAAGAGAGTAGATTCTCCCTGTTTATGGAAATTTTTATTTAATATTAAAGTTTACAGATTATTCTCCTCTAATTTAATTTTTTGAACTTCTTTGAATTATCTATAGAAGAAAAGATTATCGATGTTATTCTCAAGGGAAGTGAGAATAGATTTGCAACTATTGCACATCTTCATGAATTTGTCAACACTTTAAGAATAGAAATTTTGCATATTTCCAACGTAAATTATAGAGGTACTATTCCTATGCATATGGAAGAAGTTTAGAGTGTACGACAATAAGTTGTGCAATTTAAGGAAGCGAGTAGATTGACCTCACAACCAAATTCAAAGAATTTTGCTTCTACAAGTATGACAAAAATAAGGATTAGTATGCTTAAGAAGTTTGATGGAACAAAATCAAAATTTTGAAGATTTTTGCAACAAGTTAAGCTCTATCTAAAATTGCATCCCTTCCATTACTCCGATGGATTTACTCAAGTCAGATTCATAGGTGCAGTTCTATCAGAAAGTACTCTCTTTTAGTTTACATTTTTGATAGAAAAGAATTCATAACTCCTTTATAATTTGAATTCATTCTTAGAAGTATTTACAGCCACATTTAGAAAAAGTGATCAAGAAAGAGTAGCAGAGATGAAGCTCTTATCTTTGCAATAAGGATCACGGTCATCCACCATATATATTGTTGAATTCCAAAACCTAGCTTGTAATGTGGACTAGAATGACAAAGCCCTTATCAATGAATTTTGATATGGATTGAAAGATAATGTCAATGATTTATTATTGACAATGTTAAAAATAAAATCTTTGAAATAATTTATTGCTTAAGCCATTGTATGTAATAATTCATTATTTAAAAGATATCAAGAACAAAGACTTGGCTAAAGAGGAACAAATTAAATAATGATGGTAGCTCCCAAGTTTTCAAAAATACATTCATCAAGGCTAGAACCAATACAAACTGATATAATACATTTTAAATTCTTCATAGAATATGAAAAGATTTGACAACATGAAGAGGACTTATGCTTATGTTATGGAGAAGCTAAATACATTGTTTAACATTGTCTAAAAAAGCAACTCAACCACAAAATAAAAAGCATGGTTGCCAAAGAAGATGATGTGTCAAAAAACAAGTTTCTCCAGCTACAATAGAGACCATAGAATTGGAATCTTATATAATTCCTAGTAAAGATCTTATTCTCTCTTTAGATCCATCACCTTATTTTATAATAGAAGTTTATTTTGGACCAAAAATTCACAAAGTTGTAACTTTATTAGATTCAAGATCCTTAGTCTATTTTATAGATGAAGATTTTATCAAAAAATAAAAGATATCATTAATTTAAAAAAACTAAATCTATAAATATAGAAGTCATAGATGGTCATTTGCTATCTTTTAGAGATGTCATGTATGAGACTGTTTTTTTAGATGTAGCAATTAAAGATCATAATAACATAGTAATATTTAATGTAATAAGATTTTTGTGGAATCTAATTATTTTAGGATTATCTTGGTTAGAAAAATATAATCCTCAAATAGATTGGATTTTTTGTAACCTTAATTTTTTTGATAATTTAATCCAAAATTTTATTAGTTAAGTAGAAATACATAAGTCTTAGTACATCCAAATTCTTACTAGTAGGTACAAGAGCTTTTATGCATACTACAAAAAAAGGCTTATCTTTTGCTTTATATGCCACATCCATTTTTGATAGTGAAAAAGACATCAAGTGGTATTCCTAGTTAATATCAAGATTTTCGGGATATTTTTAAAAAGGAAAAATGCAGATATTCTCCCAAAACATCATCTTTATGATTATTCCATTGATCTTCACAAAGGAGTTCAATCACTATTTGGACCAATCTATAGCCTATTACAATACAAGTTGGCTGTACTTAAGGAGTACATTGATGAAAACTTGGCTAAATATTTCATATATCATTCTAAATCCCAAGCGAAGGCTCCTATCTTATTTGTAAAGAAAAAAGATGGAACTTTGCGGATGTGTGTGGACTATCAAGGACTCAACATGATTACCAATAAGTATAAATATCCTCTACTTTTGATTTCAAAACTTCTTGATTAATTGAATCAAACAATGATCTATACAAAAATAGATCTACAAAGAATAAATAATCTAGTATACATTAAAAAAATAAATAAATGGAAAATTATGTTTCGAACTAGGTATGGATATTTTGAATATAATGTCATACCTTTTGGATTCACAAATACATCAATTACTTTTTAACATTTAATAAATATTACCTTTTATGAATTTCTTGACGATTCTATCATTTGTTTATTTAGACAACATCTTAATCTACTCTAAAAATATGAAAGAGCATGAAATTCATGTTTTTTTTATGTTACAAAAACTTAAAGTTGTAGGATTATATGCCAAATTAAAAAAAGTGTATATTCTACACTACTCAAGTTGACTTCCTAAGATATATCATTTTCAACAAAAGGCTAATGATGGATTCAAAAAAAGTCAAATAGAAAGAAATAACAAACTCCATCTAGTAGCTTTTTATTCCAAATTTTTTTTAGCAACCAAGATAAATTATGAGATCTATGACAAAGAGCTCCTTGCAATTGTAGATTCATTTCAAGAATGACATTATTATTTAGAAGGCGCCTTGAATCTAATTGTAATATATACCTATCACAAGAACCTCAAATATTTTATGTTTGCATGTATTTTGAATCGTTGTTAAGTTCATTGGAATATGTCTTTATCAAGATTTGATTTTAAGATTATTTATTGATTCAAAAAAACAACAAGGTTTATTAGATGCTTTTTATAAACATTTTTATCTTGTACTAAAAAAAAAAAAAGATGCATCTTTTGATCAACAAAGAATAATTTTCTTGAAGTTGGAAAATTTTCACCTTTAAGCAAGAAAATCAACATTAATTGTTGATTCAACCTTTGTTAAGCAAATTCAATCAAATATGTCATTTGATCCTCTTATCTATGATATTAAGAATAATTCTTCTAAGTCTCATGATACTTCTAAGTTTGAGTTCAAGAACAACCTATTCTATTTTCACGGACAATTATATATTCTAGAAGGTGGGATATTCTTCAAACTTGAATATGTATTCTTGTATTCAAACTTGAATATGTATTCTTGTATTCAAACTTGAATATGTATTCAAACTTGATTATATATTCTTCAAACTTGTCATGACTTTCTAGTAGCTAGATATTTTGGATATAATAAGATTTTGGAATTAATATCAAGAGATTTTTAATGGCCTCAAATGTGGAAGGTAGTCAAAGACTTTGTACAATCATGTGATATTTGTTGAAGATCTAAGTTAGAATATCTTATTCATTGGCATGGATATGCTATTAATAAATATATATAGCAGCAAGCAAAGAATCTTGTAAATGCAGCAAAAAAAGTTGAAACTTTTCATCAATAACATCTATCAAAAGTAAGATGAAGATTAGCAAATCTTTGCTATAAAAGAAATAAGATCAAAGAAGAATAACACTCAATCTTCTATCTTTTTTTGTAGCTTTAGTATATTTGTGACGTTGAGGAGATGAAAAATCAACAAATAGTAAATTCAACTCAAGAACTTTTATTTGCTGACTTATTAGATGAGATATTGTGATTGTGATAATCTTTAAGACAACGTAATTAAAATGAAGATCTTTAAGAATGACATATCCTTTCTTGAATAGATGGTGAGATACAATGTATTTGGTATTATAACCTTCGAAGAGAGTCTCAATGTTTGGTGATTTTATAAGAGGTAGGAACAACTCTTGACGATATTTCAAATGTTTTATTTGAAGGAAGTTGCAAAGGCCTCACCAACAATCAAATAATAGGGTAGTCTTTTTATTCTGGTATAAGATAATATCGATGGCTGAGAAGACCTATCAACCATCTTCAAAGAGAACAAAGCTCTGAATATGTGACAAGTATAATTTATAATATTTTGAATTTTTTGAACATAT